CGCCTCGCCGCCCTTCCTACCCTCTTCCGTGGGCCTCTCGTCTGCGCTTGGCTCCGGCGACTCCGTTCTGCTAATCCTCTGGTGGTTTTCTGGGTTATTTAGGCAGGTGTAGGTGGAATCTAAGTGATCAGCAGGATGCGCGGTGAGCCCAGCGTCCTCCTACGCCGCCATCTTCCCTACAACTCGCTTCAGCCTTGCTTTTCTTGCTCTCACGTGTCCTGTGCAATCTACTTAGTAAGGTCTGCGGGCCCAACTTTTACAGTATATCCTAAATCCACCTCAACTGCTAAAACTAAATTCTGAGTTACTCTCATCCCCACTCTGATTATTGCAGTGACTGCCTCACTGGTTATCCTGCTCCATCCTCGCTCCTTCTATAATATATTCTACACCCAGAAACTGAAGTGATCTTTAGAAAATGTAATAGCATCCTCTTTCAGCCATGGCAGTGTGCACACACACATGCACACATGAACACATGAACACACACCTGATAAAACCTTCCAGAAATTTCCTGCTGCAACCAGAGCAGATTTCAAACTGCTTACGATACTCTTCTCTGTCTTTCCTGTCTCTGTCCTCTGTTCATTCTGCTTCATCTGCAATAGTCTTCTGTCTTTGAAATGTGGCACATTGGCTCTTAACCCAGGGGTTTCACATTTGCCCTTCCTTCTGTTGGTAACACTTCTCCCTCGGAGCTTCAGAAAGCTCCATTTAAGACTCAGGCATGACTCCTTCCAAGAGTAGAAGTGTGCATCAGTCATTGGCTCTCACATGGCCCTGTTTTCAGCTTTCTTTGTGCTACTATTAGTATCTGAAAATTTCATTTCTGTATTTTTTAAGTCTGTAATGTTTGTTTCTTCCTCCTCACCCCACATTTAAGTATAATCTTCTAGAAACCCAGCGCTTTACTGCCCTTTCTGCAGAAGGCCCATGAGGCACAGGAGTGGCCCTAGAAGTCTTGGAAGCGCCAGGCCTGGTTCTATTGCAGGGATTGAAATCTTGGGCAAAGTCCACCATTTCTGGGGGGGGGGGCCAAGAGAGGGGTGAAAAAATGAGTCCCAACCCATTCTTAGATACCTTGATCCCCAACACCTAGAATGATACTTGGTACCCAAGTGGCACTAAAAAAGAAATACTGATATTACTGTAATAAAAATAAAAGTATTTCTAGTAACTACTAGATAACAGATTTAAACAAATATACTAAATATTAAATAAAAGATTAAAAAATGCCAATTGACTAGACCTATCCTACTATCCTACTTTCTCAGCTCAGTACAAGCAGGGAGCAAGTGTATGTGGTTGGTTACCCATATAACCAACATGGGGATCTCTGCTGTAGTGGCCTCCAGGCCCTGCTACACTCAGCGATTCTCGCTGTCATACTAGAAAGCCAGGATAGATGTCCCAGCAGATGAAAAAGATGAGTGTGTGAGGTGACAATCTTCCTTTTCACCCACTTTATTTTCTTCCCATTTGTTTGGTGCACCTGTTCCCTTCTCTCTAGACGGTTCTGCCTCCCAGGCTCAGCAGCTTCCAGACTCCCAGGTTCTGTGGCCCGATGAAGCCGTCTGCCTCCGAAAGAAGAAGAGACACTCTCGGCCTGACCCTTTTGCCCGCCTCTCAGACCTGTGCCACCGCCAGCTTCCAGAAGACCAGACGGCGATTCTCAACAGCGTGGATCATGATGACCCTGGCCATGCCACCCTGCTGTGACACGACACAACTCTAAGTGTTCCCTGAGTGGCAGTGCTGGGCTGAGGGGCAAGGGAGGATGAGGGTGTGCCAACAGGCGGGCAGTTTCTGGGGCTGCTCTGACCTTTGTTCTGTTCATTTTGCCTCTGGCCAGAGTGGAACCTCTGAATCCTGGCCATCCGGTCTCACTTTCAGGACAGAAGGCCAGGGGCAGACCTGTAGGTAGAGATCAGAAAGTGAACCAGGGACAGGGAGAGATCTGCCTCCTTCCCACCTCTCCCCTCTTCCCTGGCTTGATTTTTCTCACCTCTTCAAATATCCTTGGAAGTGAAGAAGGGGAAAGCAATGGCTTTTACTGCTCTCTGCTTGTGTTTCAGTTTCTTAAATCCTGGAAGAGGGCTGGACTTCCATCCCATCTTCCAAATCTACATATATATAGATATAGATACAAATGCATATGTATGTAGTTTGTGGGCTTCTCTATGTATATATATGTACATTGAAGCAAAGTGCTGTTTATTTCTGTGGTCAGTGAAGGAAGGAGGTAGAGGGCAGCAGACTGCTGGGGTTTGTGAGTAGGACTGGCTGAGAGCCAGCTGGGCATCTGATATCCGTCCTGGGTATTCTTCCTTCTGAAACAGGATTCATGGCTTCTCAGCTGAACTCTACCTTCTCCTGTCCAGAGCAGAAATGGGTCTTCCAATGCTTTCTAGCTGCCTGCTTTGGGGGTTCATCAATGAGTTACCACAGAACTAAACACAAGCCTTTATTTCTTGGTTCCTGGGTGAAGAAAGGGTAGCCAGCAAAGGGCCAGACTGGCATCTTTCTTCCTTCCACAGTTTGTCCCATGCTGCGGAAGTAGAAGCTGCTTAGCAGTGGGGCCAAGAAGCAGGTCCTGATGCACAAACTCGAGCTGATTCGTCAGTCCCCTTTGGTCCAGCCAGGGCCAGAAGCCCTGTGGCCAAAGGGCTTCCCGTTCTGGAGCCATCTGTTCTGAACACCAAGCTGCCGCGGCTCTATTTATATCCTGCCTCTGGCTCGGCACCCTCTGGAGCGCTGCTCCAAAGGCACTGATTGGATTCCTCCTTTCCTTTTGTGGGAGCTAATTCCCCAGATTGATTAATTGCCACTTGTGGGGAGCCTGCCTGCGTCTCCTTTCCATCTCTCCACATGCTGCCTGCAGACTCTTCTTTGCCCTGGGCCCTCCTGCATTCCGTGGACCCAAGCTCCAACAGGATGGGATCACATGAAGCTAGGGTGCCTCAGATTTCCAGATTCTGGAGCAACTCTGGATCCCCTCTCTTCCCTCAGTTTTATTTCTGTGGAACTGGCTGAGGCAAAGGGATGAAGGTAGAAGGGTGATAGGTAGGGGCCTGGGTTCTGGTCCTTTTTCTGCCAAAATCTTGTCCTAGTTCAAACTATTAGCACCCAGAAGCTTCTTTGCACTCATCTTACAGTGACTAAAGATGCATCTCCAGTAAGATAATGGTGCTGCCCAAGAGCAGGACAGAAGGTCCTGAAGATGGATAGGGGTGCATCTGCTCTTTCCCTTCTTCTTATGCAGGAGCCTGTGTTCTGACTACCTGGGAATAAAGGTGGCTGTCAGGTTCCTTGAAGTATTTCCTTCTTGGTGCTGTTGTCTTGGTGGGTTTGGGGACATCTACCTCTCCCCAGTTACCTGCTTGGATGTTGGCCAGGTCAAAGATCTAGAGGCTTCTGCTGGTCTCACTGCAGTTGCTACTGGTTTAGCCCACATGACCTCAGCAAGGGGGGCTCTGAGAGCTGGGGAGCTTCTCCCTGCTGGGAACTTCCATCTTAGGGAATGGATTCTTCTCTGCCACACAAGCCCCGGTGCTTCCTTTCTCTTGCCTAGAGAGTGGGGACCAACTCCACTTTTGGGGTCTGGCTACATGCCACATAACCATGGTTCCTTTCTAAGGGCAGTGAGTCATGGTGACAGAGGTGGGAGAGGGCAGTTTCTGGCCCTCATCTTGTTGACTGCCCCACTGCTCTGGACTGGGCTTTGCACCCTTGGAGTGGAGCCTCGACCTTCTGGCCAATGCACTTCTCCTGGCATCCAAGACCACTTTACCACCAGGTGGCAGTTCCAGCAAAACAGAAAAGCAGAGGTCGGGTGACTGTCTGCTTTTCAGAGGCAGCACTACCTCTGCCACTGTGCCCGATAAGTGACTCACTGAGTACCTCTCCTAGGGTGTGCAGGGAATGGACATGGGTCTCATACCAAGTCAGTTTGAACCCTCTCTGGGCATGTTGTTTGCCAACCAGGGTGGATCCTGGATGAAATGTGAATGTGGGATGCCAGGGCTGAAGGACTTCAGGGTGAATTGGGCCAATCTTTCTGAGCCCTGTGCTTGGAATTCTAGGTCCTGAGCTTACAGAAGAGGAGAAGATGGGGTGGAAGGCTTTGCCATTTTAGGATGTCCTACAAGACTGAGAGCCTATCTCTGGGCTGAGGTGCCTCAGACTACAGCTGTGCTTTCCCAAGCGAGCCATCTCCAGGGACCCCCAGTGAGCCATATCCAGGGCTAACAAAGGTGCTGACTCCTGTCTTCTCTTCTTCCTCTGGCAGTGCACCTTACCTCAGTGCATCAGACCAAATGGTTGGAGCTGTGCTTTTTTGCTGGCCACTGAGTGGCAACTATGCTGGGACATCCCTAAGGCTAGGGAAAGGACACATAGCCAACTTAACCTTTTGACAGCCTCACACTCATTTCTCCTCCTAAGAGGGCTTCCTTCTTGTGACAGTGTCCTTGAAGGCCAGCAGCCTCTCTGCAGCCCTGGGAGCTATTTCAGTCCTTCCTTTAAGGGCTGTGGTGGAAATTGGCAGAATACAGTCCCCTTTGTCCCTCTGATGGAGGGTAAAGATGTCACAGGCACATGCTTCTGTGCTGGGTGTGTGTGCATGCGTGTGAGGGCGTGGTTGTGAACATGTGCATGATGGGGGTATAGCCTTTCCTTGGGACCAAATGTCCTTTGTACTCTGCACTTGAACAATGGCGATGTGCACTTTTGAGCTTCCTAGGACTTTCGTGCTCCACTCTGTGGGTGATCAAACGTCCTCCAGACTTCCTCTTTTATGGTCTGGTAGCTTTGCAGAAGAAGCAACTCAGATAAAAACCTATTCTTGTGTCTCAGACTTTTGCCTATCCATTCATTCCACACCTTGACTGGAAACTGATTGTTTCAGGGTTAGGTGATTCTCAGACCAGGGAAAGGATTAAATGATTCTCAGAGGAGTCTGAGGCTGAAAGCACTTAGGGGGATCTGAGACTACAATTGTTTGAGGGAGAATAAATGAGCAATAAGGAGAAGGTGAATCCTGTTTCTTGATTGCTGGCTGACCACACTGAGTGGGTTTCATGGCTTGTGTGGGGCCTTGTGTGTGTATCATTGTTTGTGGCCCAGCTCAGCACATGCTGGTGAGCCCTGCCGCCATATCTCCCTTGTGACTTTCCTTGAGAGATGGGGGGTATGAGAGGCCTTGGGAGATTCCACTTTCTCTATAGGCAGTCTGCTTCATCCCACAGGGCTGGTGAGGTCTGTGCCCCATTTAGAAGAGGGGCCTATGTCCCATGATCATGCTCTAGGGGGCATCTCAAGCAGGGGTAGACTGGGGTGAGTAATTATTAATATTTTTCAGTGCTCTCTGTCTTTATTTTGATTTGGGATCTAAAATATTTAGGATTAAACTGATTCCAGTTGTTTCCCTGTGTCCTTTTTATGCAGAAGACACTGGGTAGGGTTCAGATGTGGAATTTCCTGATGAGTTTGGTTTTTGTTTTAGCTCATTTGAGTTTTTGCTGAGTTGACAAAACAGTAGCTTCAAGGGAGAAACAGACTTCACCAAGTCAGGGTGACTTTGCCACTTCCCAGGATTAAAATCCAGGGCTGAGGTGTGCGTGGCTGGAGCTGTTTCTTCCAGTTTTGTTAGAAAAGCCTTCTGTGGGGTTGGGGTGGGCTGGGGGGGGGGGGAGAATTGTACATAAAGTACATTTTATTACTACATAGAAACATAAGGAAAGAGAAGCTAATGGTTAATCTTGGGCTTGCTTTGCTTGCATGTAAAGGAGCTTTGGACGCCATCACAGGGATTTCTGGGGAGCAGCAGGAAAGAGTCAAAGGGTAGAGATGGGTGGGAGTGAGGGGCAGCTCCCCTGAGTGCATCCCTACTTCTCCCCTGGGGAAGAGTGCACATTTTCACAAGCCATTCTAGGCCAGCTCTGCCTTCTTACCTTCTCCAAAATAAAAAGGAGGCAGGCTCCAGCAGGCTATAGGCATGGAGCCCCATGGGGCTATGCTTATTGCTTTGGGGAGAGGGTCTAGATCTAAACTGAATGAGGGAATTGATCAGGTGGGGTGTTTTCAGGAAGGGGATTTAGAGAGTTGGAGCATAGAAAGGAGGTCGAATTCTTTAGCCAAGTGTCTATAAGGCTGGAAGGGGAATAGAGAGCTAGGTTGATCATGGAGTAGAAGGTGGGGATCCTGGGATAGGACAGTAAGGCCAGAGCCAGGGGACATCAAATCTTACCTTTCTCTATGGAGCATGTGATAACTTAGTTACTCCTAAGGGTGCAGTATACAAGTCGGGGGTCATCCCAAGAAAAGAAAGAGGAGCAATTGCCTGGGATGGGGCAGGCTGGGGAGTGGTAGCTTTGAAGATCATTTGGGGGATAGGTGTGGAAGACTGTTATAGTCATTGAAAAAAGACTGTGGAGTAGGACCTTAGCGCATAGGCCCAGACTGGATCTTGGAAAAGATCTTGCTTCATAGCTGGACTTCCTTACTTCTTCTAGAATTAGCCTATAACACTAAGTGCCCAAACCAAACATGGACATATTCTCTGTGATGTATTTCAACTTCATCTGTTTGTTTTCAGGGGTTCCTCAGGCCCAAAGCTGGGAGACTTGTCTTGAAATCCCCATCATATTGCTAGCTCTGTGTCAGTAGAGAAAGAGGAAGACTCATTCTCATGAGCTTCATGTGTTTGTGTTCATAAGCAG